ATAGGTGATATACCACTTTTGATCTCGCTACATTCTATGTTTGTTATGATTCAAATTGCATTTAGGTCAAAATAGATTACTATAGAAACTAATTCAAGTCAACAACAAATAACAAACTGTACCAGCAATATTACTAATACCAAAATCTAAAAATTTTATTTAAAAAATAATTTGCTTTAAAACAATTTCATATTAATTATTAAATTATTTTGAAATATTACTATTTGTCAACTTCCATTTGGAATTTTTAGATTAAAAACATAATCAATATGCTAATAATTAATCTATATACTCATTATTATTAAAAATATATGATTAAAAAATTTCAACATTCCTTATTTTTTAACTTAAATATTAATAATATTTATTAAATGTTAAATGTAATATTAATAAAACTAATTATATTTTCCTTTTATTGTTATTTTAATGTTTCATGTAACCATGTAAACATTAATATTTTCAATCAATAAATGGTGGCTATCATGAAGAAGGACATTTATTTTGCACTGCAAACTGTATACTTTATGAATCCGCAAACGAATAATCAATGCTTTCAATAATACTACAATTTTGTATAATGTTTCTTACTTATGAAAAGCATTGATTAGGTTATGTATAACTGGAATGTATTTGCATTTTTTGCATTTCAATATATTTGTATATTTTTACCTTTGAGCCTTTGGTTTCCACAAGGAATCAAGTTCAAATGAAAATTATAAAACATTAATTATTTAAATACAAAATATTAAAATACAAACAATGATTTTAAATTATCTAAAAATATGATTGGCGCTTAAGACTTTATTGTTGGGATCAAACTATGATTCAATTTGTAGGCCAGTTATCACTCCATATGAATATCATATGGATTAGTACATAGATTATCAGTAGAAAAGTTATTGTAAATGTAACACTGTAAAATTGTATCATTGTAAATGTAATGGGCAACGTTTTGTAAATTATCAAAATTATTAAATGATTTGTTATTAACTTGGTAAGGGCGAGAAAACGATAGTAAAGTATATCTGGTCATAAAAAATAATTTTTTCAATACAATTCTTATTATATGGATATTTAATATAAAAGTGCACAACCTGTTAAGGACAGGTATGGACACGGCGGACTCATATGGTATGGATGTCATAAAAAATGTATGCGAATCGGGATGAGTGGAGAGATCGGCAAAAGTTTTGTTAAGTATTTGTATTTGTTTTTAAATAAATATTTTATGAATTTAGAGAACTCTTTATTTCTATTTATCTTAAATTCTGATATAAAATATAAATTACTTTATTTAAATCTATACTTAAGTTGTATTTAAATGTGTACAGGGACAATTCGATAGTACTGTGTTAGTGAACTGATTAAATAAAATGTATTATAAAAAGAATTCAAATATCTATCCGTTCAGTAAGAAAGGACTTCTCCAGGAATTCATACGAGTCATGACCTCAAGCCTCGATTGTCTCGACTGTAATTACGTCCAACAATCGGAAATATGGAGGGGTAGGAAAAGTGGTGTTTAATGGCTATATCTGTGGCAAAGGAATCGCTATCAGGTTTCCCGCGATGATGTCATCAATTAGTGATTAAATCAAAACAAAACGTTAAATCATTTATTCATTAGTCTCTCAAATATAGTCTCATTATTAAAACATACAATCAATTCAATCATTAAAAAGTTAGTCATTCTGTCAAACAAAAGCATTAATTTCTGGTATAAAAAATGAATACAGAATACAGAAAACAGAAAATTAAATTAAACTGAAAAACACTTTAAGTATCAATCATTTCATAATTTTATTCAAAAAGCGTTTCAAATAAAACCATAAAAACAATTACAAGAAATTAATTAAATGATAGAAAAACTCGATCCCAGAAATCAACGCACAGTGGCTATGATGTCGTCAATCTTGAGGATACTTCTGACGGTCTCGGAGGCCAACGTGATGGCCGAGAGGGTCACCTGCAAGGGCTGCACCACATCCTCGTCCAGTATATCCGTAACCAAACCTAAGCGCA